GAACAAGAACAACAACAACAACAACAACAACAACAACAACAACAACAACAACAACAACAACAAAAACAACAACAACAACAACAACAACAACCTTACCCATATACGATTGGAGCTGCAGCTTCCTCCCATGTTTGTCTTGTTGTCGTCTGATGCCTTGGTGTGTCCCCTTTTTTCATCTAACAACGACAGCTCCACAGGTTCGTGTCCGTCTTTCTCAGAAGACATAGCAGTCTGAATAGAGACACAAAACACGCACTGATCATGATTACCAAAAGTAAAAATAAAATAAAAAGCTTCAGCACACCGGCAGGGGCGTAGCCTCCTGGGTTGCGGAGGTGAGGTCCTCTTGGATTTTATTTTCGGTAAGTGCTTTGCGGCGCTCGCAACTTCATTAGGTCTTGTGGGCGCGCGGGGACACATTAAACCTTTTAGTTGGTAGCAAATTTAGTTTGAATCTTGTCCGGGTGGCGGTCGAAGCCTCCTCTTATCGATTTTGGACCACCAAGGGATCTTTATCGTGCGCAACTTGCACACGGGACCTTCGAGATTTTTCACTCTTATCCGAGAAGGCTAGGTGTTAGATTTCACCTATCATAAGATCTGGGGTGAGGCTGAAAGACAGCAGTAAGAAGGAGCCAAAGAGTAGAAGTAAAAGGCTACAGAAAGAGTCAGGAGAACATTTTAGAGAAATAAGAACAAGTTCCAACACTATCCAGATACGAACCACGAGGGTCTAGTTCTCTTAGTTTGGTTTTCGTTTGAGTAAGAGTTTCACAACACTTGTAGCACACGTAACTCATACACAGTCTGACAATTAGATGTGTGGCTAGAAAGTAACAGACATGGCAAAGAGAAGAAAGAGGAAAAATAAGGACGATAGATGTTTAATAGGAAAGAAGGAGCAATCCATACCAGAGGGCCTCAGACAGAATTTGTAGTTAATTGACGGGAGTTCCGACACTTCGAAAGTATATTATTGAGTGTGTGTGTGTGTGTGTGTGTGTGTGTGTGTGTGTGTGTGTGTGTGTGTG